CACGAATAAGAGTTATAGCGACACAGAAAGCGTACTCGATAGCTTTTTTTAAAGCTCTTTCGCCAACTTCGCCTCAGATATGACTTCGGGTCTATGGCCAAATAGTTAAACAGAGGCCAAACAGTTAAACGGACGGAATTTGCCGAAACATTTGTTCTGTAACAACCTATGATTCAGTGTATGTGTATGATATTCATGTTAGGTATCACCATCGTGTTTGTTTCGTCGAAACACGTCGCATGGCTCACAATTTGAACTTAAGAACTTAACTAGAAAACTTGACATCAGGTAAAGGTCAATCAATGGTCATGTCCTGACCGGAAAAGAACCTGCTGCATAAATGTGCGATCGATCTGTGTTGCTGAGCTGAACACACTTGACACTCCAGCACTGAACACTGGTGCTGAACACTGAACATACACTGAACACACTCCAGGTGCTGTCATCGCTCTACAGCGTCTCCATCAAAAGTTGTTGTCGAAAATGTGTTAGAGACCTTTGATGACCTAATGACTGACCATTCGAGTCACCACTGGTCATTAGCTGCACCTTGTCTCTAAAATGAGCAGAGGTGCCATGGCTACAAAAGTACCTGTCTTATAGCGTTTTTAGCATATTCGTTCAAAGCAGAGGGCATTCGTGCATTTTCCCATATCTTATCATGATTGGTGAGGTCACATATTTGACCTGACTTCACTTTTCATATGTAAAATTCCAGATTCATGAACTGTTGGCACTTATAATCCCATTCATTACACCAAATTTCAGACTTATAGGAGATAATCTATAGGAATGACAAGATTGCAGCTTTTAGAGGCATTAGAACTGAACTGAACATGACATTGTGACCTGACCTCAGGTGGCCTGTGCTTGATTTTTATGCACGATGCAATAGTGATGTACAATAAGATATACCGCTGCTTTCGTGGCACTGCGCGCCGAGGTTTTTCTCAACACATGAAAAACCGGGAGTCGAAGTGTGGCTAAAAACACCTCTACCCATCAAGACGAAGAACGGAAACCCGACCCCCCCCCCCCACACACTAAAAAATCCGTGGCTACGCCACTGCCTCCTCCCCCTCCTGCAATTTAAGTTAGCCGCTGCGAACACTAATTCGTGCAAGGGGTCATTTTCACTTCTTGACGCCGCAGTACGCTATACCGCCGCGCGGGGGTCCGAGGGACGCTACCTCCCGCCGCGCCGGATGACCCTCGGGCCTGGGCGCCGCCGCCGCGCGGCGGGCGATGGACGGCGCTACCTCAATTCAATCTCGAGAAAATCAATCCCAAGCACACTGCCAAGTAGTGTACCAAGGCGGTCCAAATTTGTATCCGCCCCTCCTATTGGTCAACGTCACGGCCGCCACAGGGATGCATTACGTCATTCCCGTCTGCCAACGACCAATCACAGTATGGTACTTGCGTCTTCATGGTCCCTTCAAATCCTGGGGCCGAACGTAACCTGGGCCCCGGTGTAACCTTGGTCCCGGTGTAACCTGGGTACAATGGTACTCTGGTACTTATGAATGTCACCCGTTACCGACACCTTTAACCCACCGTTGGAGCAAAATTGGCGAGATCAAGGCTATAGAACTCCAGGTAAGGACACCAGCCGTTTGACCTTGAACGCCGCCGGCCGGCCGATGACGTCATTGGAGGCAAGCCGGCTCGGCGGACACACAAGGCGAATGCATAACGGAGGGGCGTTGGAACGTTGCGGGAGCCGGGGAGATATTTTAATGTGGTTGTATACCACCATTGTTATGTTTATTGATCTACAGACTGCATTCTTTTAAACCTCGATGCACTCTAGGCCTGGATGGTTCGTACATTCGTGGAACGATCAGCCCGTCCGAAGTCCGTGGTCGAAGCTGTCATAGTATTAAAGACACTAAGACGGGTGCAATAACGGCGATCCGATCCCGTCTCTGGCGAATCTAGAGGGGTCGTAAGGACCCAGGCCGAATCTGACCGTCTATTTTTAGGGAAACGGGGTGGGTGAATTGACAACCGATGGCTTAAGAGATAATGAGAAGAGATCCCGTCGTCGATTGTTGTTTGACAGACAACACATGTTGTACTGGACGTATGACCATCAGAGGTAATGCCTGAACGTAGGCAAGCATAATTGTTCTGTCATACTGTTTAGGAATATAAAATGGTAATGGAGATTATTGAGGATATGATCTCTACATTACAGGAATTCGCTAATTACTACGGCCCATAGGGGCACCGCCGGAGCTGTTGTTTTGCCATCGGTCCCAGGCAACTCCAGGGAGCTGCAGTAACCGGCGGCCAAAGCGGCCCACCTCGTCGACTCGCAGGTCCTGTGGGATTCCGTGATGCTTTAGTGCTTCACCCACAGAAGCACGGGCATAGCAGTAGGATGTGGGGCTAGGTGTCTGTCCACCTCTTCATTGAAAGAACAACGTATACAGCGCCTGGTCCCGCCGAAGCTCGGTATCGACCGTGACTTATTCACAACTGGCGGATCCAGGAAGCGGTCTTGGACACTGCGGGGGCTTACCCCAAAAAGGTTTCTCGGAATTAATTAAAAAAAAAACAACTCTGATTTCGATTCCTTGCGCACTGCTGTGCAGTGTGATTAATCAACATTTCCTCAGAAAAGTTGTGAAGTTTTCTTTGATTCTCGAAAAGCGATTTCGGGCGCTGCCAATGTGGGGGAAGACATTTGCCCCAAATGCCTTCCCCTGGATCCGCCAGTGGGTTGCCCCACTCCGAGCTTGACTAAAACCATTTTCAAACCCCACCAGAAACCGATGGTAAGGTGAATTTAAATCCAATAACTCATCTCTGTCTGCCCGCCTAAATATGTATACAACACATGGTACGGCACCCGGCCCTGTCTGAGCTATGAGCCGATCGCGATATTTTCGGCTTTCCCCAACCCAAGCTCGATTAGGAACGTTCTCCTTCCCCACCCGATTGCTGATGTCAATTCAAATTCAATACCTCATCTCTGTCGGCCCGACCATAACCCATTCATTGCACACCGTTCAGCGCCCCGCCCCGCCAGAAGTATCCTAGCGCGCTGAGCAGTTGCCTCCAGCCGCGTCATCGCGAGGCTCCGCGCGGCCCATAAATTAATACATTGCGCGAATAGCCGTGTCGCCCCCCTGGGCGAGATGATAAGGTGTGCTTTTGTGCCCCACTCAAATAAAATTTTGTGGATGATTGCATAAGCCCTTCCTCACACTGCCAAAAACAAGATGGAAAGATGGAAAAGATTGCTGAAAAGATGAAAGTAGTGGTGTATCTAGGATTTATTCCAGGGGGAAGGGTCCGCAGTCAAAAGGGCCCTTCACTTACTGGGTTGAAAGGGCCTTAAGTGTCAAAAGGGCCCTTGGAGCCTGATTTGAAAGGGTGTCAACCTGCGCCCTGCTGGGGGATGATTATACTGTTTTAAACATTTCAGTCATCAGTGAGGGTCATTGATCAATCAATCAATTTCAGTCATCATCATAACTGTTAAAATGCATATCTCGGTATATTGATAGTGTTGAGCAAAGGTCAGGTCAGTTTTGAGAATTTTCCAATAAGCCAATGGGAGAAAATTGAAAGGTGCATCGCTGCTCTTTTAGCAGCTGTCGCCCTTGCTGCCATATTCCTCTGGTGGCTTCAGACTTCAGAGGGCTCTTTTTTGACATCAGAGGGCCTCTCTGTGGTCTCCCAGATCCTTTTTTGATCTCAGAAGGCCCACTGTTCGCCTCAGAGGGCCCTTGATTCGCCTAAGAGGGCCCTCCGTTTGGCTTAGAAGGCCCTCTGTTCGCCTCAGAGGGCCCTCTGGTGACCTCAGAGGACCCTATTTATGCGTCAGAGGGCCAGTCCTGAGGCCTCAAAAGTCCTTATTTCATCTCAGAGAGCTGTCTTTGGCTTCAGATTGATCTTTTTTTACCTCCTTGTGGTGTCTAACAGGGCCCTCTGGCCTCTGTTTGCATCAGCGGGACCTCTGTTTGCTAAAAGAACCCTATATTCGCCTGAAGGGGCCCTCCGATGACCTCCAAGGACCCTCTTTGATCTCAGAGGGTCTGATAATCATAGGGCTCATGGTGGCCTGACATAGCCCCCATGTCACCTCAGAGGGCCCTCCAGTGGCCTCAGAGGGCACTTTGTGGCCTTTGAAGGCCCTCTATTCGCCTTAGAGGACCCTCTAATCTCAAAGGGCCCTCTTTGAGGTGGCTAAGAGGGCCCTTTGTTCACCTCAGAGGGCCCTCTGGTGACCTCCAGGGGCCACCTTTGATCTAAGAAGACCGTCTGTAGGCCTCATAGGACACCTTGTGGCCTGAAAATGACCCGCATACCTCATGGGGCCTTCTGTTCATCTTTTAAGGGCCCTCTGTGGCCTGACAGGGCCCTCTGTGGCCTGAGAGGGCTCTCTGTGGCCTGAGAGCTGGCCCTCTGTGGCCTGAGAGGGCCTTCCGTGTGTCTGAGAGGGCCCTCTGTGGCCTGACAGGGCATTATGTGTGCCTGACAGGGCCCTCTGTGTGCCTGACAGGGCCCTCTGTGTACCTGAGATTGCCGTCTGTGCCTGAGAGGGCCCTCTGTGTACCTGTGGTTCAGAGAGTTGTTAGGAGCCACCAACATCGAGTACCTCACCAGACCGCTCCAGAAAGTGTGGGCTACGCTTTGGCCAGCAGTGCCTCACATCCTGGTGTCAGCTGTGCTGCAACTCTTGTCAGTGTATTGCACACATATAAGGATGTAACAATTCAAATTTTCAAGCCACCACCATGTTTTTCCATTGCTAGATGAAGAACAAGTATGTTCACATAATTATTTCCACCCTGTAGATCACGGCAGTCTATGAATACCCCACGCATATCAAACAGTCCCACTCACATCAAATGACCCCACCTTATGTTAGATAGCTTTCTGGTAACAGTGACGTATGGCATGCATGGCATCCCTGGGATTCGTCGTAATTGTTAGATGAATTCAATCTTGCTTTATGAATATGAGCTGCATTTTCTTTTCGGCAGGGATGAAATGGACATATACCATCTCACGTGGCTGCTGCGTTTCCGGGCATTCACACATTGTAAACACTGCAGCTGGCATGCAGGCTGTGTTGTGGTCGCACTGGCTCCAGCCCGACAGGCCTCATCTGGCCGACAGCCGCCCCCGCCTCCGGCTGACCGAGGATTCACCACCGACGGGAACAAGTATGTGCACGTCTGGGCGGACGGTGCGTGCCGCAGCAACGGGCGACGTGACGCGCGCGCCGGCATCGGCGTGTGGTTCGGACCAGGCCATCGGCTGAACGTGTCTGAGCCGGCCGCGCCGCCGGCCACCAATAACAGCGCAGAGCTGCAGGCGGCCGGCCGCGCGCTCCGGCTGGCCAGACAGGCGGGCTTCTCGCGTGTCCTGGTGCACACCGACTCACGCTTTGTGATTGAGTGCGCCACCCGCTGGCTGCGCGTCTGGCGAAAGAACGGCTGGCGACTGGCCGGCGGCGGTCCCGTCAAGAACCGTGCGCAGCTCGAGCAGCTGGCACGCGCCATGGACGACGTCACCGTGAAATGGGTGAGCACCGAGCAGTGGGGCTACCTATATATGGCTGGTGTATCAGAACCATGTGTGGCTGGTGTTTCAGAACCATGTGTGGCTGGTGTTTCAGAACCATGTGTTGCTGGTGTTTCAGAACCATGCGTGACTGGTGTATCAGAACCATGTGTGGCTGGTGTATCAGAACCATGTGTGGCTGGTGTTTCAGAACCATGTGTGGCTGGTGTTGCAGAACCATGTGTGGCTGGTGTTTCAGAACCATGTGTGGCTGGTGTATCAGAACCATGTGTGGCTGGTGTATCAGAACCATGTGTGGCTGGTGTTTCAGAACCATGTGTGGCTGGTGTTTCAGAACCATGTGTGGCTGGTGTATCAGAACCATGTGTGGCTGGTGTTTCAGAACCATGTGTGGCTGGTGTTTCAAAACCATGTGTGGCTGGTGTTTCAGAACCATGTGTTGCTGGTGTTTCAGAACCATGTTCGTGGGCATTCTGGTGACGGCGGTAATGCGGCGGCCGACCGGCTGGCCGTGGCCGCCACCCAGCTCGGAGACGGCTCTCAGACGCGGACGTGTTCCCGGCACCGGCAGCCAGCGCCCGACACCGTCCGACGGCGGACTTTTGTCGGCGGGGACGGTGCCGCTGGGCCCCAGCCGGGTACTGCAACGTGACGCCAACCCCGTCCGGTCAGTGTTCACTCTGTGCACGGCGCCTTGGGACGGTCAAGTCATGGATGAAGTACTCTACTTGACCATGGATGCCATCATTCATGGTCAAGTGTCCCGCCTCGGTAATATTCCGTTCTATGTCGCGTCCTTAGCAATGGCCAGTCGCAAACAAGTGTTGAACTGTTGACATGTGCCCATCAAATCCATCAATGTCCATCAAATCATCGGCATGTGATGCTGTGCGGAAAATACTGAACTAGCTGTGAGATGACCAATTACCTAAGACTTACCAATGTGAGGTAAATAGGTACGAGGTGCACTCTAGATTTTTTAGACTTTTTCAGTAGAGACAGTCATATATTTCAGAGAAATATTAAACTTAAGTCATCCTGGAAGTAGGATCTCCTCCTGAGTTAATTGCACTTACAGAGTGTCCCAAAAGTTCGTTTTCACATATTATTTGCATGTAAAACAGGGTACATTCCGTTTTGATATATTTATGACATTGACCACCGGGTGGTCCACCCAATAGGCTCCCTATTCCATGCAGGGGCGGCGCCACGGGTTTTCGATAGGGGGGGACGGGAGACTTGCCTGACCGAAAATCCCAAAAGTAGATACTGATCGTATATGCAAAAAAAAAAAAAAAAAAACGAGGCACGTAATGCCGCGAAACTTGGCAAAGCCCAAAACACATCGAATGGTGCATCCCGTTTTCAAACTTATCCTAGGACACCTAAGATCGATCACCTTTTCAGGCCTCCTTGCCTCTAAATCAAAATTTGCAGTCTTGACAACTCAAAGCTGGTTTCCTACAAGCTGCGAATTGCTTAGGTATGAGTAGCTATTCTTACGTTTCGTACTTTAAAATTTTCGATCTTACGTCTGGTCAGCTTCATGGCTTCACCATCATATAGTCATGGAGGAAAAGTGGGAATGTCTTCTGCTCTAACAAGTGCGTCAAAACTGCAATATAATTTCAGAATCATGACATCACTACCTGATCCATATGCAACGGGCAGGGTGCAGCTAATGGCTAGCCGTCAGTGGTCATGTCATCGGTGGTCAGTGGTCACTCAAAAGGTCATGCTAGGTCATGGAAGGTCACCAGCCGTTATTTGTTCACACTTTCTGATGGATTTTACTTACCAAGAGCTTCGCGGGAAAAACAAGCGCATGCACCGTTGAAAAAATTGAGTGAAAGGGTCTCAGGTCCGGCGACCTCTGCAGGTGAAATGCCCCAGGGTAGGATTCCGGTCCTTGTTGATTAACTTCGTCAAAAATGGCAGTAGAGCTGTGATGTCGGCACCATTGTGTTCGTCATGATCGAGCTGGCACGACCTGCAGTCGTTCTCATATTCATCCTCCAATCGTAACAACTACAGCAGGGATTGGCAAATGGCGGGGCACCCCCTTTGGGAGGTAATGAAGGTCTCTGGAAACCTCATCCCTCATCTCTTTAGCATTAGTGGCTCTCCTTATGGAACAGGTTTCTTGACTGGTCTGTTTCACCCCAGAATTCAAAGACTAGTCAAGGTAAAACCGAGCGCACCACAGTGAGCACAATTTGGTAAGCTGGTGTATCTCAATTTTCATGTAGAACCTTTCACGTATCACGTACCTAAAACCCTTTCGTGCACTCATGCAAAAGCAACTGCCATGTTTCAACAGCTGGTAATGGCATTTTCACAGGCGCTGACGTAAGAAGGGGAGGGGGGGGGGGGCTCGATTAGACCCCCAGCCGTTCGGCCGCCGACCGAGCTTAGTTTTGCAGAAAAAAAAAACGAGTGCTATCGAACCCCTTGACGAGAGGGAGCCGATGCTACCCAATTATAAGGTCTTGGGCTACTGCGTGCTTTTTTGGTCATGCCTGTGATCTATCCGAACACTTGTCCCCACAAGTGCTGGGTTTAAATGGCATAGATTTCAAATGGTTCCTGTGGTAGAACTGCCATGCTTGAATTCGACTAATTAGGAATGGAAAATATCCATATAGTAACGGAACTCTATGGAATTTCAGTAAACTTGGTTTTGTCGGCAATGGGGTCTGGCAGTGCGGTGGGGAGGTAATAACCCTGCCTGGGGCCCCAAGAAGGGGGGGGGGGGCACGATCCCCGTGGCCCTGCGATCACCTTATAACTACAGGCATCACAGCTCCATGCACCTTTTGCAGATGACCAGGACCCCCTGCGATGCATCCCAACAGCAATCTTTATTCAGAATCTGCCTTGATTAACCAACGATGCATTAAATGCGACGGATAACTATACAATGCATTATTATCAACTATTGAACGGGCCTCGCCGATAGGGGGTACTGTACCCCCCTAACTTTCGATAGCGGGGGACCTGTCCCCCCCCCCCGTCCCCCCCGGTGGCGCCGCCCATGATTCCATGTGCAATCATATGAATATGCGCTGTGGCATGCTAATCGCCGTGACGCTTGCCTTAGTTTCCTGGCACCACTTTTGAGCTTTTCTTGGCCTGTGCGCCGATACTCCATAGCGAGTCCACACTCCACAGTGACGGTTCAAGTTAAGCTAGAAAGCACTTTTTTAGACCCCAGACCTTTGACTTAGAGACTTCTCCCAGACCTTCGTGGTGAAGCAGTATGCGTCCAAAAACTGTTTTCGGGGTACCTTGTTCAACTGGAGTCAGCGCTTGTGCTCCTATAACGCCACAATACCGTGACCTAATTGGCTTACACAAAAGTCCTGTTGCAGTTGAAGGCCCGCTGGTAGTCCTCCAAAGTGAAGGTGGCCAGTGCCTTTGTCACAGCCTCCTTCATCCCCTCCACATCCTCATAACAGTGGTCCCTGAGCTTCTCTTTCAGTCTGGGGACATCCAGAAGCGACAGCGGGCCAGACCTGGATAATAGGGAGGATGAGAGATTATTTTTACGCCCACCTGACGTGTCAGGAAGCTCGTCACCATGATGGACTTGTGGGTGGGTGCGTTGTCCTGGTGCAGGTGCCACTGGCCGAATTGGAAGAGTTCTGGCCTCTTGCGGCGAATTCTTTCTGAACTCCATCGGAACCACCACGTGGTATTACTTGTTGACCATCTGGCCGTGGGGGACAAAGTTGACGAAGATGATGCCTTAGCCGCCAAAGAACGGAATCATTATGAGTTCCTAGTGCACCTGCCCTGTCTGGCTTTCCTGGGTCTCTGGGTGTCAGCCGTCAGGGTGCTTCCACTGAGCACTCTGCCTCGGGGTCTCTGTATCGTAGAAATAAATCCAGTTTTCGACCGATGTACTAAAAGGTAAATTTCAAATGTTTCTGTGACATTTCTACCTAATTTAACACACAATTTTATTGCATAGCGACCACGCAAGTTATGTTCCCAATGACAACCCGACTATACTGTACACACTGGTCATTGTGATAAGCTGTCCGTGACCTGTCGCGTTCAGGGCGATGCTCTATCCGTCTCTTGCAAAGTGAAAAACAAAACAAAATAAAGCATGTTCATTTATGATAACTGTGGTAAGGACATAATAGAACAATATTTATAATTTACCTAGCACTGTTAACAGTACCTCTATGAGCGCAGCCAGCTTGGGCGGCCAGCGACAGCAGCTGCTGCCGAGGGTCACGGTAAGAGGTCCGGGGGGCTGCCGTTTCTGACCGGACTGGGCGCGGCTGCTTCGAATTACGGTAAACATCTTGGTCTGCTATATCTTACCATCTGTTTAAGCTGCTTAAAACCCGTTGGGTTAGAAACTACGTCATTGTCCCAAACAATGCTGCCGCATTGCGTCCCCGTTTTGAAAAAGTACTGGCCGGAATTTCCGTGCGCGTCAGCCCTCTCCACTCAGACACCGCCTCACTCTCGGTGTGTTTACTGCCGAAAGAATAGCTGTACAAAACAAGACACGGCGCATAGCTACCGCAGACGAGGCGAACACGTCGGCTTTTCTGTCTCATCACATAAGAGGGACGGCAGCGCGGTAACAGAGCGCCGCCGGGCAGCCCCCACAGCCCGCGGCCGCCCGGACAAACTCGTGCTTCCACCGGGCGCAGTGGAATTGAGATCAAGCGACAACCACATCACATCCGAATGGTTAGTGTCCACTGCGGGTGTTCGCAACAATTGTCCAGATGGCAGCACTATCGCGGGGGCCGGCCGCTGGCAGTACCAAAACACCGGATCGGCAACCTACGGCTGCACAGCAAGACCGCACACATCAGCGCAACGGCGAGTATCAACGGCGGGGTGGGTCCGACGGGGACAGCGAGTGCAGGGGTGCAGCGGCGCGGCCAGCCGGCTCAGCGCGGCACGACCGACCGCTGCCGACCGAACCAGCCGCAGCCGGCAGACAGGAAAATAGTCGGGAGCTCCGTGAAGGCACACCAGTGTTCCTCTCGAGAATATGGTGGATGGATGTGAGAGGGGCAATGAGGGGGGGGGGCGGCCGTCGACGGCCGCGTGGCGCACGCTCACTCCCGGGCTGCGTTGGCACGTGACGTGTGTGTCTGGTCTGTCCTCCGGGCAGCACGCGCTGAAAGACGCACATGGTCTCCGGCGGTGCGGCGCTGCTGATGCAGAGCGGCGGACGGCGCCCTCCGACAAATTATTTGAACATCGGTTCAAGGCACTGGGAGTCGTATGTACAGCGGCCAGCGGCAGGACGTGGCCCTCGCCGGAACACATAGAACCACTGGGTGGCCCTCGCCAGGACACATAGAACCACCGAATGGCGCACAAAGGTGCCAGCGACCGCCGACGCGGCCACTCACAGACACCCCGCGGGCGGACGCGCGGCGCGCCGACAGTAAATAACGCTCTCACTAGGACACACTAATGCAACCACTCACAAATAACAACGGCTCATAAGCATCACGGCACTCCGGCGCCGCGCGGCCGGCAGCCTCGGCCACGGGGCCGTCTCACGAGATCAGGGCCGGCGTTAGTCCTTGACCAGCCGGTAGATGTGGTGCTGCGCGCCATGCTCCGAAGTCGACACCTCGAACACGAAGGCGATGCACAGCAGCGTCTCCTGTGTGTCCCGGTTGGTCACCACCTGTCCGAACCGAGGGGAGTCAGTCACCACCTGTCCGAACCGGGGAGAGTCAGCCACCCGTCCCAGTCACCGATAATGTACCCGCCCCCATACCTCCCCACCGAGCGGCTGCCGCACCCACCTGGAGTATTGTGAAGTTCTCCAGCACACTGTTCATCATGTACTTCTCCGGCAGGTGCTTCAGCTTGTGGATGAAGTTGACCATGTACTCGCACATCGGAGACCGGTTAATCCGGTAGAAGAACCGGCCATTCTCAAACCTGCCGGGGAGGTGGTTAGGCCGTCAGACACAGACTAGCTACTGTCCCCCGCACACACAGCCGAGCCAGGTTAGCGCGTCTGAACCAAGCGAGCAGTGATTCGGCTCCGCTAAGAGCTCTGACAGGAGGGACGCAGTTCAAACGGGGTCCAGTAACAGCCACATACCAAACAAGGTGAGCCATCACCAAACGAGACTGCCAGACGGCGCACGGGGCACAGAGCCGGGTCGACTCTGCCAGATAAGCCGGGAAGCCCCCCCCCCCCCCTCCTGAGACCCCGTGCCCCTCCGCCGGCGGGTCGAGTGCGGCTCGTGCTCTCACCTGGCGTACTCGGTCTCCACCTTTTCCACCACCTGTTTGCCGAAGCTGCACACCTTGGTGGAGCACGTGATGGTCATGTTCTCCGGCGACTCGTACTGGCTGGTGACGCCGTAGAACGCGCCGCTCGCGTCCTGAGACGGAGGTCACAGGCCACCAGGTCAGGCGAAAGGTCAACAGAGCGCGGGCGGCCTCAACAGCGGCGTCACAGCACACCCGAGCGAGGGCCATCACATGGTATACAGCGGAGCTGGTGTACCAACTCGCAGCCAAAGGAGGGCAAAAATGGACTTCACAACGAACTTCGTTAGGTAGTTGATAATGAACGACCAGCTATATCTGGTCCATGCTGCAGTACAAAGGCAAAAAACTATTACGTAAGGGGGACCTCTGACCTGACGCAATGACCTCTGAGCTCACGTAATCGTCTTTGCCTTTGCATGGCCCTTTGATCCAGAAAAGTATGGTGTACAGAGGTGACTCTGTGGAACGACCTAACGAACTTTGTAGAATAAGTCTATTGTTAGCTTTTCTATAATTTGAACTTCACATTGTACTTTAAGGGATATCATGGATCATTGCGAGAGAAGTATAAAAACATATATAACCTGTCAGATACTATTCCAACATGTGCTGCAAGTGCCATGAGCGATACCATGACAGCCGTGCATCAACACACAATATCACAAGGCATCTATCACCCACCGCTAGCCCTCCCAGCGTCCGTGCCGCTGACCCACCTGTATGCTGGTGTTGAGGTCGGCCCAGAACTTGACCAGGAAGAAGGCGTTGGCTGGCCCTTTGTCGTATAGCTCGCGCAGGCCTCCTTTTTTGTCGGGGAACTTGTCGTAGATCTGTGTGATGCCGATGGCCTCCAGCGGCTCGTACGAGACCGGGCCGCCGATGTGCACAAACAGGTGTTTGTTGTACTGCCGGACAGAGAGAGAGAGAGAGGAGCCGCGGCTCAGACCGAGTCGTGCCACGGGCTACCGGGTGGTCCGAGGTGTACCGGTACGGCACGGCGCCGCCTCCGTCCGACCCGGCTGCCAGTTCCGGGGCCACCCGCCGCTCCCGGCTCCAGCTACCCAGCCCGGCCCGAGGCCACCCGCCGCTCCCGGCTCCAGCTACCCAGCCCGGCCCGGGGCCACCCGCCGCTCCCGGCTCCAGCTACCCAGCCCGGCCCGGGGCCACCCGCCGCCGGCCGCGCCGCAGGCCCGGCCAGCCGACTCACCATGTCTGCCACGGCGTCATGCTCGCGGGTCTGTGGCGCCGCCTCCATGAAGGCCGAGTACTCGACGAGGCGCAGTTTCTGCGTGGCGATGCTGCGCCCCTCCCAGGCGGGCGCCGGCGGCTGCGGCTGGCCCAGCAGGGACATGTCGGCGGCGCTGGACGGCGGCCGGCCGGCCACGCCGTACGGCGACTGCGCGAACGGCTTCACGCTGCCGGCGGTGGAACGGCCGTCAGAGGGGTGTCCGCGGGGGCACCCATCGCAGGGAGGGGGCACACCCCTTACCCAGTGGGCACCCACCGCGGGGCCGGACACCGTCCAACAGGACAGCGACCACGCTGAGTACAGTTCAACACATGTGGACACATGGACTCAAAACATCACCTAATAGACCGGGGAAAGGCTATTCATTGCGCCTCCTACAAATATCTCCGTTTGCAGCCAAACAAGCACTGGCTGCATTGGAGCCGCCGGCCATGTTCGCCCGTCCCTCGGCTGCCGACTCACTCCTGCGCCATGCCCTGGAGTCCGGTCTGCCAGAGGCCCGCCGGGCCCGGGTAGCCGCCCGCCGTCAGGCCGAACCCGCCGCCGCCGCCGGCGCCCGACGCCTTGTGCGGCATGCTGGACGCCGAGACGATCTGCGCCGACGTCATGGCCGACACCGAGTGGAGCGCCTTCTCCTTGGCGTGGTGGTCCTGGAGCGCGCCCAGCGGCCCCGAGTTCTGTACGAGACGCACGGCACCCACGCCGGATGGGTCAGCCAACATTGCCATACATAGGGTACATATATATGCATACACGCTCCGGTATGGTTTGCAAGTGCTGATGCTCTCGACCACTCAGAACAGAACATGACTTAGTGTGCTCGAAATAAAAGTATGGGAGATGGCAGACGCGTGACATTACAAGTTATTTATGTATGATATAGTTATGTAGTCAGTGTCGGGCCGGCGCCGACACCGCCTCTGCTCCCCGCCGCGCCAGATCCGCTCACCTTGATCTTGGTCTGGATCTCCCTGAGCTTCCTCCTGGCCAGCACCTGGATGTGCGAGCTGACCTGCTTGCGCGTCCGACATTTGCCCGTGCGCAGCTTGATGTAGCGGGCGATCAGTTCGTTCCGACCTGCGGACGGGGGGCTGCCGTTAGTCTGCTCTGGTCACAGTGATTCACACACACGGTCCGAGCCGAACCAGCGGGA